ATAATTTCCATACGCAGCTCAGATCACCTTCACCATTAACAGGGTTATGAGGCCACATAATGTCTATACCGAGGGCTGGCCGAGGTTTCTGCTCAATGCATGTCTTCAGAATTCTTCTATTCCTGTGCTTAACATAGAAATTTTGCGGGTAGAAGAAAAAGAATATTCACAAAGTCTAACGTTTTGTAAAAACTGAAAGATTAAGTTGTGTGCTTTTTCACGCAGAGGATATATTTTTTCTTCGTAATAAGCCTAGAAAATGTAGTACTATTTAGCAATGTTTTTGTTTCAAGTAGATGGAAGGTAAATCTCTACCAACTCTATTTAAGATTTTGCTCTTTTACAGTCTTCATTTTCTAAACTCTTAGAAAAAAAAAAGCGTATTTTCAGACAAGAGCACCAATTAAATGTGATCAACTCTAGTTGATTTAAAGACTAACAGTGTATTACAAACTGACCAAAATACCCTTCTACTGATTCAGAACAGTGGTTAAAACTGCAGTAACACACATACAAATACAAAACATAGAATGCATAAAAACAGCATTACTCAGAAAAAAAGGCTGTATTTAGACTATTGCAATCAAAAAGGAAGTTCATACATGAATCTAAAAATAATTGTGAAAACCTAAGTATAAGGTTGCAAAAACTAAGAAACTTAAAGAGACTCCTCCCATCAACATCTACTCAGTCAAAAAGGGTTAAAAATAGGCTCAGGTATTGCACCTGCCTCGGTGATCCTTGTCATTTTTTGTTGTTTACAGTCATGCTTTCCTATTTTTAAAACAAACTTCTCTCCATATCCTGACAGAAATAACCACACCTACAGCAGAACAAAACTGACTATGCAAGTAAAGGAAAACAGGATTTTCATCCAATTCTTTATAGGTACAGCTCTCTTCAGCACCACATGTAGCATACAGGTTAAAAAAAAAAAAAATCTCAGATTGCTCTTACATACTTCTTGAAGCCCTGTATGCAAAACTTCAGACTGCAATTCCTTTTGCTTGCTCTAGTACAGGTTCTGAGAGTACCAGTTTAAGATAAAACAAACACAGACCTAATTTAAATACTACCTTGTACCACACTATTACGATTCTACTGCCTCATTCTCAATTAGTTGCATTTTTATATGTTTTTTGAAACTGTCATTAAACAAGTGACAACACCCCTAATTCTTGGCAAGTACATATATCTAGTATCCTTGTGTTACTTCCCTTTAAAGTTTAGCCTATTCAACACTGTCCAATAGAATATGAGTATGTAATTAGTAAGTAGCATTAGTAATATTGAAGTAATGCTCAAATCAACAGGAAGTTACTTCACATCCACTAGAAATACACTGTAGCTAAAAATATGTATGTTAAAAATAATTATAGCCATTAAAAAAAAAATCCATATTTTAGGAACAGCCCTTTTATTTTTGAGGGCTAAAACTGGGCAGGGAAATAAGTGTAGACAGTGCTGTTACAGCCGCTAAAAAAGGACATGGTTAAATTTGATGCTGTTAACATTAGCTATCTCCTTTATCTGAAACAAGCATGATAATGATACACATTTCTCTGTCCTGATCTGTTCCAGTTACATTATTCTAGAAAATAGTGTACAGTATTGTATAACAGTAATGTTTGGCAAAGTGCAGAATTAGTGTTCTTTTCGTTATCTTGCTGTCTGATCGGAACTGTTGGAAAAGTCATATAGGTCTTGGCAAGGGCTACACATGGGTTAGGTTAGCCATGCAATTGAACTGCTAGACTTAATGTCAGCTTAGGCATTATCCTATTTTAAGTAATTAAATGTTTTCTCTCCCATAAACCTGTATCTCTTTATTGTTTAAAAAAAAAAAGGAAAATAAAAAGATTAAAGGTATTAAAAATGACTACATGATGAGGCTTTATGCCACAAGAGGTGCCACCTTGCCTTTTGAGTCACAGAATTCAAACAGAGCTCCCAAAGATGAGTCTCCTAGGAAGATTTAGACTCTGATTTGCACAAGGCTAGTCCTAGCCTGAATTCATTATTGAAGGGCTGAGGTTTTCCATATGAAAATGCTGACTCTTAAAAACTTCAGAATTAGGATTTAGTCTATATCGTGTCAAGATCTGAAACATTTGAGAAACTTTCTTTTTCCATGGTTTGAAAGATTTGACTGTTACTTGCATTTTTCTTTTCCCCACAATAATCTTTTTTTCCCTCATCTCTTCTTCCATAGAAATCTTTCGTTTTCTTCTTACCACAAAGGTGAGAACAAAACAGAGAAAAACACAAGTGAAGCGTTTTCATTTTCATTTTTGGTTTCATTTTCAGAAATTACTGCTATGCATAAAATATGTAGCATTTAGTAAGAAAAAAATTGAAGAGTTAACTGGAGTAACTATCTTTGGCAACAGATCTCACCATGTATTAAATCAGGGTGGGAGAAAAACATACGATCTAATGTTCAGATGCAGAGTGTTGTCTGCAACTTCCATTACTGAAGTTATATAAGCAGACCCCTGAAAGCATTTACTAAAGCACCTCCCTTCCTAAAAAAAACCCAAACAAACCCTTGGCCAGTGTGTTTCAAGACATACTATCCTTTATATTTACAGGAAAAACCTATTAAAATGTCTTCCTCCATCCTACCAAATAACTCCCCGTGCTGGCCCATCAAGGGGCTATGCTTCCTCCAGTCTTAAAGTCTATGGGTCCCAATTCTCATGCAAAACTTTTAAATATTTCCCCTTACAAACACCTCAAAAACCTCAGGATTTAGCACATCCACACACACCGCTTCACTGTAACACGAAGATGAGAAATGAACACATCCACAACCAACACATCCTCGTCAGGACTGAGTTAGAGGCAGCAACGATACACCCTAAATACTGGAAGGAACAGCATTTTCCACTAGTCATGCTTCTCACCTCTCTCACCAACTGCATGTTAGTAAGTTTGTATTTTTTTTATTATTATTTTCTCTTGGTCATTTATTTTCTCGGGAATATTTCCTGTGATTTTCCACAAGTTGAGGCAACAGAGATCCCCGAGACCAGCATCACTTGTGCTGTGAGCCACTGTCATGCTCAAGGGCAGGCTTTAGGGTTTAAAAAGAGGTAAAACACCACTTCTGGGGGGCTTTGGGAGCCAAAATGAGGAGCGGGGTGTGGTGATGCAGGCAAGGGCTGAGCCCTACCCCGCACTGCAGGGCCAGAGAAGCCAAAGTCTCCTGTGCCTCACCACGCCACAGCCCTCAGCCCCACCGGGGAGAAGCAAGGGGGGAGAAAGGGGCCTCGGCCCGCGGGAGACAGGACGACGCCTGACCGAGCAGGCAGTGGAGCGGCGG